GGCCCCACACGAGGTGGGCCAAGCCTATCACGAACCCCGCCGCGCCCGCTCATCCACGAAGTCCACGGCGCTCGAAAGGTCCTCAACGGCCTCGACGGCGGAGGATGCTGCGCGGCACAGCCCCGTCACGCTTGAGCCCATCATGAAGAAGCGCTGGGCCCGCCATCCGATGTTGCCCGCCGCCGCCATCGCCCCGCAGGCGCGCGGGCTCCAGCCAGTGAAGGCGGCAGTCGTCCGCCCACTGAACAACCAGTTGGCCACCTGCGTCTTCTTGCTATGCTTATTATTGGCGTTCGTATACGATTTCACGCTCGCGGCCTCCGCCCCTTTCAGAACTTTCTCGGGGATCTCCTAACCCGGGTCAATCAGACCGGGGTCAGCAGGACACCAAAAAAATGCAATGCAGGGACAAACAAAACAACGCAGGACTTCACAAACCCGGGTCAACCAATATGCGCGACCGCCTCGCAGCCACGAGCGGCTCACTAACCCAGGTCAGCCAGAGGGGGTCTTCGCAGGACCCTGCAGAATCTGGTGCCCTGGCTGACCCCCGTTTGCATTGACCCCCGTCTCTTAAGCTCCCACTTTCCTAGTGATCCGCCGCCCTGGCGCGATCAGGGCGGCGCCCCCCTGCTTCTCGGACAGGCCAGGGTGCTCCGTCCAAACTATGCCCTTCTCGGGCGAGTGCACGAATTTCTTGTCCCGCAGGTTGACCGCGATCACCCGCTGCGTGGGGCCCACCGCCGCCTGGGCGGTGGACTTGGCCGAGCCCATGCGGCCCAACAGCCGCAACGCGATGCCCGTCTGCATCCACGTCTGGTTCTGCAGGTAGACCCTGTTCCAGCGCGGCCACGGCGCCGCGAAACTGTCCGGGGCCCCTCGCCGCTCGCTCACCGCGGCGACACCAGCGGACGTCTGCAGGGGCTCGGGCCCGCAGTCCTCCAACTGGCCACCCGACCACCAGGAGGCGAGGTCAAGCGTCTGCCATTCGCCATGCGCTGGCCACCACCGCCAGCGCCAAGGCCCACGCGACGGGCCAGCAGAATCGCGCCGTTCTGCCGACGCGGCCCAGCTAGGTGGCCCACGTAAGGCTCGAAAGGGCGGCCCGCGAGGCCGCTTCCAAGCCCTTTCGAGCCCAAGCTGCAGCCAGAAATACAACATGTTAAGGATGAGGTGGCCATAACTCATATTACGGGTCACTTGTAGTAGAGCGTTTGTAAAACGCGCATCACGCTATCTAAGCCCTGGCTAAGCCATGCTGAGCTCTGCTCAGCATTGCTACTCCCTGGCGATCCCTGCTAAGCAATGCTTAGTCTGACTAAGCCACTAAGTCCAGGTAAGCCCTGCGCAGCCTTGGTATTTGCGAAGCCAGGGCGCCACACATCAGGACGCCGCGCTTGGCGGACGATGCCTGCGCAGCGACCTCCTCTGGAGGGGGACACAGAAGGCGTCAGGCGCCGGTCTCCTTGACTACCCTCGCCTTGCCTACCGCCCACCCGCAGTCTAGATTGGCGCAGTCGTGAACCATCACCCACCTGAACTCTGGATTGGCGTGCCGCCCACTTGCACTCTGGATTGGCACACCTCGGGCAAAACCAAAACTGCGGGAACTGGGGGTTCACTAGAAGGGGTCGGAGCCGTGAACCCGCGCTGGCTACCTCCACGCCCCACCCTCCTTAAGTGGTGCGGGTGGCCCACCCCCAGGCTGGGGACCAGAGGGAGTGTGACAACGGGGGGGGGAAAACTCCCTCCGTCGCACTCCCCCTCACCCAGTGGTCTCGAATCGGAAAAGGGGGTCTGTGAAGGAGCTGGGGAATAGGGACGGAGAGCACGTGTTTTCATGCATTTGTCCAAACGCAACACCTAAAAGACCGGAGCCCGACGACGACGACGACGACGACGACGACGACGACGACGACGACGACGACGACGACGACGACGAGGGAGAGACCGAGGAGGGCGAGGAGGACCAGGAGGATCAGGAGGACCAGGAGGAGGAGGAGGACGACGACGACGACGAAGAACAGGGCGAGGAGGAGTAGAGCAAGAAGGAGGAGTAGGAGGAACACAAGGACGAGGAAAAGGACGAGGGCAAAAACGAGGTCAAGGACGAGGACGCGGAGGTTGATGAGAAGAAGCAGGCCTCAAGCACCCTCCACACGAGTTGGAGCATCTGAACGGCAATTCCATACAGTGACGACGTCGGCCCTGGTTTCCTAACCCCGCGCGAAGCGTTCGGCCTTGAAAGGCCTCCTTTTTTCACAGGTCCCGCTCTCGACTCCATCTGTCGTATGGATTGCGCGCCGTGGGCTGCATAAGCAGGCTGCTTCCACACGGAACGCTACATCAGGCACGAAACCCTAATTTTCAACCCCACAGCTCCAGGATGCAAGAGGAGCGCTAGAGGAACAACCCTGGAAGGACCTAAGGAACAGCGAGCCCATTCCAAACCCGAACTGTTCCTTATCTCAGCGCCTTGACTGTACTCTGTTTGCCCCGGGGGCCCGCATTGGGTCACCGAATCGGACTCGACAGGGACGACCAGAGCGAATAACAGGGACGCATCCGCCTAGCATCCTCGCAGGATAGAAGACATGGTCGATCAGAGTGCAGTGCCCACCTCCCTTGGCTGCCCCCCCTTGCCGCAGCCACTGACGAGAGGACGCTCAGCACTCGAGCGCCCGCGCTGGCGCCCGCGGCCGCGTCGAGGCGTCGCAGACGTGCCGCGCGCCGAGCTGCAAGGAGTGGCCGTCGCCACTCTGGAAAATGCGCGCGGGGGGCTGTCATGCTGGCCGGCATCCCTGGCGCCGGCAGACACTGGCACGTCTCCTGGGATGTGGAGAGGGGCAGAGGAAGTCGAGAGAGATCCGCGAGGGGGATGATACACCGATCCTGGGCCCAGGATGGGCACATGGAAATGGCTACATGTTCGCAGTTCGCAGCCCCCAAAAACGGCGAGGTCCCACCGGATCCGCGTAGGACGTCACTACGCTGAACACCCCAGGAGCCCACGAACGTGGTGACAGTTTCGCAGCTCGCAGCCCGCAGGGACGGAGAGGCCCCATCTGATCTGCGCAACACATCCAGGAGTCCACGAAAGTGGCGCAGGTTTTGCAGCTCGAAGCCACCCAGGGAGGCGAGGCAAGAGGCAGGGCAGAAGGCAGGTAGGAGGCACGATAGCACTTCCGAGCGATAAAACGCGAGTCCGAGAGTTGACGGAGCCACGTCAGCGGATTCAAACAGAAGCTATGTTGATACAGGGAGACAGACGGCATCAGCGCATAGCTCTTACACATCCTGGCATCCCCTACCAAGCTCATCACACGACGAGAGCGGAGACTCATGGACGTGCGCATCACTCCAGTACAAGGGCCTTACCAGAGCGGAGACTAATGCCAAGGAGGGCCCTCAAAATTTGGGCCGATTCGTTGGCGCGGGTCGAGGGGACCATGGAGTGACCCGGAATTCCTTGCCAAACTCCACGTTCGGTCCCCTGAAACGAAAACGCCACGAATGCGAGGCAGATAACGACGGCACCGTGCCTCTCAGCCTGGTGCCCAAGACCGCGACACACCTCCACCACCCCGTCAGCAACGGCAGTGGCAGCAGCAGCCTCCTCCTCCAAACCATCGGCAGGCAAGGGGGCCTCGCCCGCCGCTTGCAGGGCAACAGCCACGGCGGGTAAAGTCACCGACGCGTATCTCTCTGGCGCAAGGCGAAAAATTCGAGTCGCCGTCGCACGCTGGAGCTCGGTCGGCACGCATGCAGAGCCACGCAAACCTCGCAAGACTCCGGCGTGCGAGCGAATCGGCTGCACCGCTCGCCTCGGTATGCGCCGAGACGCACACAACGAAAAGATGAATGGGAGGTCAGAGCAAGGTGCGGGTTGGGGGCGAGCTTGGCAACCCGAGGGGTTTCGGACTACGGCTGCAACAATTCAGCCTGACGCGCCACCGCCTGCACCGCTCTTCGCTTTGGCCAATTTGGCTGAATGGCCGTCGTCCAGCAAACGTGGAACGGCGTGACTCTGGGACCCCTTTGTCCGATGACCGACGAACACTGACCCATCGGAATTCTGGGCCAGACTCGCCGTCGCAACGACCTCGCATCTGCCTCCACAGGCCCGCGTGGCGGGAACGTGACGATTCGCACTCAGGGTGCCAACTATTGCCCGCCTGGACCAAGCTCAAACGACCAGAAATCACCAGGGCAGGACGGGCGGCAACCTCCAGAGCCTGACGGGCCTCGAAATGTTCTGCTCTCAGCAACGTCTGGACCCGCCCGGGCCGCGGCTCATACAGGGCTCTGCTCACACAGCTGGACGGGTCGAGCTCCATTAAAGACCATCCGCATCCGGTGGGCCCTGGGAGCGAAGTGGCTCGGCCTGGCCCATCAGTGCACACGCGACGCCCCCCACTGGCCCCGCCAATCTTTCCAATCCATAACTGGGGCAGACTCGGCAACAGGCTCAGGAAAACGCGGCAAGGGCGGCAGCCCGAAGTCAAAATGCAAACTCATTGCTGTCACTCGCGTTGCTATAGTGCGCGCGTATCGCACGGCGACGTTCTAGCACATCATCGGGTGGAACGTCCACGGGATCACGCACAGGAGGGGGAGGAAGTCGGAATATGAGAAGGAGGAGGAGGCTCTCCCTTCCTTCTCCCTTCCCGGTCTTTTTTTCTCATCTGGGCAAATTCAACACAGTTCTTCTTCCTGTGGGTGCTTGCTCTATCACCCCCACACGTGATCGCGCTTACTCTGGGTACTTGCCCCTCTGGGCTCTTATCGAAAGACTTCTTCTCTGAGCGGGGAGCGGGGGGAGGGAGCGAAGAGAGGGACTTGTGCAGAGAGATGCCTACGGAAAGGGAGGCAGAGGGAGAGGGGAACGTATACTGCGTATAAGGTGCCCTCTCCCTTCCTTCTCCCTTCCCGGTCTTTTTTTCTCATCTGGGCAAATTCAACACAGTTCTTCTTCCTGTGGGTGCTTGCTCTATCACCCCTCATACCTTCACCAAGCACAGAGACTCGGGCGACGGGAACACCGCCCGTGCCTGGACGAAGCCCAAGCGCTCAGCATTCTCTACTTTGCCTCTGGAAGGGCCGTCTGCCACATTTGATGGCGACGGCACCCGGTCGAACCAGAGATACGCGCACTGCTCCTGCGCCAGGGCCCACGCTGTCCCCACGAGCCTCGCCGAAGCTGGCGTGCCCGAGTGGCCGTTGACCATGGCTGCTCTCGCCGCGTCGTTGTCCACGAAGACAATCACCCGTCTGCCTCGCACGGCTGCTCTCCATGTTGCCAGAGCGACGGCTATGGGGAGCAGCTCTGCCTGGTGGATTACCTTCGTGAGGCCATTCTCTCGTCTCCATGCCTCCACCAGCTGCGGGCTGACTACGAATTGGATGTACTCCGAAACAGCTCCCCGGTCGTCCAGCACTGCGCCGCCCTCGACCACGCCCTGTTCCTCCGACCCGTCGACCCAGAGCAGCACGGGAAGGCGGTGGTCTCGCAGGAGCAGCGTGCGAGGTTTGGACTCGCGCAACAGCGCAACTGCCGCCTCGAGTTGGACCAACAGCGTGCCATCGACCCTCTTGGGGGGACCGTGCGCTGCGGCTGACAACGGTTGAAGCGCAGCCGCACCACACCTGCCGAAACACTGGGCCCTGGAATACGCCAGGACCCCGAGAAGCTGTGTCAAGACAGGCTGCTTCACCCATCCTCCTTCCGCCAGCGCGCGTGCCAGCTCCGAGGCTCTCGTGGCCCTCTCTGGCTTGTTCGAAATCATCAGCTCGCTATCCACAACTCTGCTGAGATCGAACACCACACCGAGAGCGGAGAAAGAGGAGGCGAAGCGCGGGAGGCAACCGGCGGCGTCCCGTTTGACCTCCCAGCCCAACAGCTGCATCACCTCTTCGGCGACGGTGGCGCTGTCAATGCATGCTTCTGGCTCCAGCTGCGGGATGTCGCCCACGTACTGCGTGAGGGCCAGCAGGAAGAGCTCCGACAGGATCATCTCGATCGCCCTCGCGACTGTCCCGAAGACGTAGACCGCGTTCCTCGCCCCGAATGGCATGGCGCGCAAGACGTAGTAGGCGACGCCATTGCGAGCTGGATGCCGCAGCGCTATGACCAGGAGCGGCGACAGGGACGGCAGAGGCGCCAGCTGCTTGAATGCCCGCTTCAAGTCGAGCGCCCTCCCCCGCAAGCTGCGGGCCGCCTTCGGGGCGAAGCCTTGGTGGAGCCGGCCACGTAGCATCTCCCCCGTGCTCAGCTGGACCTGGACCCTCCCTGTGCTTGAGGCGGCGGTGCCCCACAAACGAGCCACCGCGGCCACCTGGTCGACGCCGCCCAAATCGATGTACTCGTGGGTGTGGGACGTCCAGTTTTGGCCGAACTCGCTGTGGTCATCGACCGGGCGCACCCCGGAGGACTGTACTAGGCCGAATCTCCTTGACCCAGCCCACACCTTCCCCAAGCACTGGTCGACCTCCTCCTCGCTGAACGGGCCGAGCGCCTTGCCCTGCGCGACCTCCTCCTCCGTGCGCTTGACCACCTCCTCGCCCACTTCGAAGGTACCTGGTTTCACCGTATCCCGGAGGCGTTGCTTGGTCCACTTCGATGCCTCCAAGACTTCTCTGAGGGATTTCCCCGCTGGCTGCTCGTCCTTCTCGAAGGCCCCCGACGCTGGCACCTCGCCGAAGACAGGTGTCCCTTGGCGGATGTATGCGCCTAGCATCCGAGGGTTGGGAAAGCCAGCTGCCGCCGCCATCCCCTCGAGCAGCAAAGAGCGCTTCCCCGGCCACTCGCCCGCCCCGAGCGCCTGCTCCGGGGCCGGCGCTCCTCACCAGCATGCTTGCACTGCCAGGTGGGCGCGCCGGAAAAGCTCTTTCTCCTGCTCCTCGAGCTCTTCGGCCCTGCGGCGCCACGACTCCAACGCCGTCCTCCTCCTCTTTCGGACCTCATCTGGGCCCAGCGTGAGGACTTCGACGACAGCCCTCTTGCTCCGGTCTGGGAGCGCCGGCGGCTGCTCGTAGGGGTGCTACAGCTTGCGGGCCACCTCTACAAACTCTTCCTCTGTCCAGTGTTGACCTAACTGCACTGTGACCTCGGCGTTGTTACCGCACTCACCCCCATTTTCCAGAATCTGAAGAATGCGCATGCCCTTGTCCAGCGGGACCGTCGCAACAACAGCGTCCTTGATCAAGGTCGCCTTGGCTTTGACCTCGCCCCCGCACGCATCCTCCAGAGTCGCAAGGTCAACCTGGGAACATTTGACCACGCGTACGTCTCGGTACACAGGGATGAGCCGCGGGTACTTCGTGCCTCTAGGCTGCTTGCCCACGCCCGCGCAGCCTGGCGGCCCCGCCTGCCGCTTCGGCCGCTTGGCCGCAGCCAGAGCTGACGCCGCCAGCGGCGTAGAGCAAGAAGTCTGGGCTCCTTCTCGCAATGCGGCCACGACGTCGCTTGTCGCCGACTGGCGCTCCTTCACCAAAGAGGTCACCATTTCCCTGCAGAACTTGTCCGGGTACTCCGACTCCTCTGCAGTGGTGGCCGCCCCCTGCCTCCGCCACGGGGCGTGGGAGTGGCCGGAGTCGCACCAGCGGTTGTGCAGCGTCCGTACGCACGTAGCCGTTCCCCGAAGACGCACAGATTTGGGCCGTAGGCCTCCCACCATACAGGCGTGGAACTCGGTGTCGGCAACCCCGGCGCGGCTCAGCAGGCTGACGAACTCCTGCATGTACCACAGCAAGCTGTTCGCGGGGTTCTCGATGATCCACTGGACGCCCATGTGTTCGCAGCGGTCAACCACGACTATGGCGAACCTGTACAGCGAGTTAGCTCGCGACAACTTCTGCATGTCATCCGCCGAGAACTCGACGTCGGTCCTGCCCCAGGGCTCCCGGGCGGAGCGGAGGGGCTGCGGGAGACCAGGGATGTCTTGGATGTCTCTGGCGCGAGTTGCGGTGCCGCATGGAAGGCTTATCCATGCCAGCGTCAGGGTCTGCGCGCTTCCCAACAGCTGTAAGAAAGCAGACTGCCCTTCATTAGTGGTCAGATCAAGCTGGACCCACGGCCCCCGTGACTCGTGCCGATTGCCTTTCCAATCAACCCCGAGCCCTGGGACGCCCTCTGACGAGAACGCAGCTGTGAGTCTGGCACTGCCGCAGCACATCTCCAGCACCTGCGGGCCACCGACCTCCCTTTCTGACCTGGCCTCGCCGACCCTCGGCGCACCCGGGCTGGCTGTCGCGGGGGCGGCCTCTTCCGCCGCCTCCCCGCCGGGCACTCAATGCCCTTTCGGGTGGTCGGAGGCGAAGCTGTGGGTGCCTCCGCACGACTTGCGGCAGCAGACGTGCCGGCCCTTCGGGCACCTCCCGCCTGGCGGGGCCTTGTCGCACGTGTTCAAGTTGTACCCGAAGCAGACCGGGACGCCCGCGTCGTCGGTGGCCGAGTTTCCGGGGTACCGGAGCTGCAGTGGCAAGGCCGGGCCGCTCTTGCCCCCTCCTTTGCCGGGCTGGCTGCCTGCTGCCTGAGCTCCTGGCTTCTGCCCCTGTGGCCTCTGCAGCACTGGCGCCTGCTGTTGCTGCTGCTGCTGCTGCTGCTCGTAGCGGAGTCTCTTGTTCGCCCTCCTCCTTTGTCCCTTGTTCAGCTGACCTGGGGGCTGGCCGGCGGCGTCCTCGCCGGTGGGGGCAGGCGGCCCCCTCTTGGCCCCGGCTTGGACCGCCTGGTGCGCCCCGTGTGGGAGCGGCTGAAGGTGGATCGTGAAATCCTCGTGCTTCAAAACATCCGAGATGATGGTGTCCAGCGGGCGGACGCCATTCTTCCTCCGGATGCCTCCCTTGGCCAGACGGCTCATGAGCGCGAACGCTGCCTCGTCCGCCCTCCTGACCTGGGTTAGGGACGTCTTGGCGTAGCCCGGCGGCGGGGCCCGCAACTACGCCGCCATGAGTGTCTCGCGAAGCTTCTCGTGCTCCTCAAACTTCACGAGGTCACCCATTGCCATGGCCAGGCCGCGGCGCTTGAGGGCGTAGTCCAGCAAGAGGTCCGTGGAGAGGTCAGCACACTTTGACGATGAAGCCTCGGAGACCTGCTTCATGAAGCCCGTGGCCGGATCCCTCTTCCAGTTTTCGTCCTGCTTGATTCCTGCGGTCTCCAGCTCCCTTTTGACACACTGCTCCCATGGCGCATACTGCAGGCGGTCCCTGTCGTACATGCCCGTGAAGAGGGTGATGAGACCGTCGCCCACGTCGAGCTCGCCCTCAAAGCGGAGGCCCGTGAGACGGCTCGTGACTTGGTCCCGGCGGGCTTGAAACTCTACCGGCCCTAGCTTCCTCGGCGCGTCGCCATCGGCAGCGTCGATGTGTTTGCGCATGTCGTTAGTAGCCACGCTCCACGACTCCCACCACAAGCGCCTCAACGCTGGTACCAACTCCTCGTTGCCCCCGCTCAGGGGCACGAGCAGCTGCTGGTTCAGCAACGTGGGGTCTGGCATCTGCGGGTTGTAGTCGGTACCAAAACCCATGCCGGCGAACGTCTTGATGCCCTTCGTTTTCATGGCCGGGACGCAGTCCTCCAGGCCTAGCTCCACCACCCGCGCGAAAAAGACCTCCTCGCGCTCACTTGCCATCGGGGCACAGAGAGAAACAGACGTGAACCAGACGGAAAGATCCCGGCCTGCTCTTTGAGCCGCAATGCCTACGGATGGCAGCGGGTCAACGGTCGTCGGGTGCAAGGGGGGCACCTGCTTACCTGACAATTGACATCCAACTGGGCGTGCCGGCCCATCCTCAACGTTCACATCCGTCGACTGCATCACAAAACGCACAACATAGCCGGCTGACCCCCAATGGCACCAATACAGACAGCCAACACGAAGCACGATTATCTTCGGCATCGCGCCACGCCTGGAGGAACGTCTGGCTCCCCTGGCCGCGAGGCTCGAGCCGCGATTACCTTCACGCTCCTGACCTGTGGCCTCCGTACGCCCCTGTCTCCGCGTTAGGGGGTCGCACTGCCAACGAGCTGCGGCGTGAATGGCGCCATCAACCTGAACGATCTTTCAATTGAGTACGTCCCCCTTCAAAGGCCCCGTCGGGCCCGAAAGCGACGCCAGCCAACACTTACTCCGGCACTCCTGAGGCGACGGCACTCCGGCGTCAGTCCTGAGGCAACGACTCAGACACACACACGAACTCAGCCCTATGCGGAAGCGCCGTCCAGCCTAACAAGGGCGACGGCAGCCGATCCGTCCGGCTCGAGAACGACCACTGCCAACATACTCACACTCTCCGCGGCAACGGAGGCGCCGTCCAACCCATAGGCGACGCGGGTCTGCCAGCAGATGCGCGACACGCCGGCGTCCACCCAGGGTGGCCGGCTCTAAACGGTCGCGGCTGCAACCGTGCAGCGCCCCCATCAAAGAGCCACCAATCACAAGAACATACCGGCCTGAAGATACTAATTCTCACTAAACGTATCCAACACAACCACCGCACCCCACAGGGCACACAGCGCGGGCGCCGTCCAGCCCGGGGCGACGACTGCCACGCCGTCCAGCCACGAGGCGACGACCGCAGAGCCGTCCAGCCCTGGAGGCGACGACTGCCAAGCGAACACACATTCGCCTCTGGACGTGGAGGTGCCGTACAGCCCGAGGGCGACGACAACCTACACACCACTGCTTCACTCCGCGGAGGCGCCGTCCAGCCCGAAGGCGACGACAGCATAGCCGTCCAACCCGGGAGGCGACGACCTGCGAGGGTGTGACGCCGTCCAAGCCTCACGGCGACGACAGCCAGCGAGGGTGTGACGCCGTCCAAACCTCACGGCGACGACAACCACTACCCCACCCCGCGCACCGCAGAGGCGCCGTCCAGCCCAGAGGCGACGACGCCTGGCCGTCCAGCCGGAGAGGCGACGACCCGCAACAGTGTGGCGCCGTCCAACCGCAGAGCGACGACAGCCAACCGAGGCGCCGTCTAGCCTGGAGGCGACGACAGCCTAGCAGTAACTACAGCCCGCACGCCGCGGGGGCGCCGTCCAGCCCGGAGGCGACGACTGCCTGGCCGCCGAAGCCCTGGAGGCTACAACCGCCACTGTGTGGCACCGTCCAGCCCGGAGGCGACGACTGCCGAAGAATGCGCCGTCAGCCCGAAGGCGACGACTACCAACTCGTTACCCCGCACTCCGCGAAGGCGCCGTCCAGCCCTGAGGCGACGACAGCCTAGCCGTCCAACCCGAAGGCAACGACGGTAACTGCTACAACGGTGGGGACCTCAACACCTGCACTTCCGCAGTGACGCCGTCCAGCCCGAAGGCGACGACGGCACAGGGAGCTACCTCCCTAGCTGCAGGGACGGCGCCCGGCCCGAAGGCGACGACCTGCCTCCTCAGCGCCCGACTCCGCTCGACCTCGGAGGCGGCAAAGATCCCCGAGCGGCAAGAGGAGGGAGGAGGGAAAGGAAGAAGGCTCCTCCACCACCCCACCACCACGGACGGGGTCGAGAGCCGAGACGAGGTCGAGAGCTCCTGCGGTGCACCTTCACCGCCATGCATACTGCTGGACAGACAGCTGGTCAGGCCAGCGTTCGCTATTTCGCTGGTCAGATGGCTGGACAGGCCAGCGTTCGCTCTCTCTGTCAGAACACGGCGTGTGAGATCCTCTCCAGCTCCTCCACTCCTCGAGGGGGGAAAGGGAGAAGGAAGGAAAGGAGGGAGGACATGAGGCTGTGGCTGCCCACGGGCGCTACGGTAGTTTTGACATCAGCCCAACGGCGATGGCACCAACCACGCAGCTAAGCCGCACTGCGGGGGGCGCCGCCATGCCCTAAGGCGACGAAAGCCGAGCCGTCCAGCCCTGAGGCGACGACAGCTATTCGCACCAACCTCCCTGCCGTGAAAGCGCCGTCCAGCCCGACGGCGACGGCAACCCGACTCTACCCGACATCCGCTGCGCTAATGCAGAGAGCCCCTAGGCGACGACTGACAATTATCCGCACGCTGCCCAACCATACCCTAGCTGCTGCGGCGGCGCCGTCAGCCCAGGAATGGCGCCCCGAACTGCCTCAGCCACCCCATACTACGGTGGAGGCGCCGTCAAGCCCTTGGGCGACGGCAGCCGCCGCGCGAAGCCGAGGAGGGGCGCGTGGCTCGCCGGTGCACTTTTGCTAACAATTGCCGTCGTACCGCCCTACACGCTCGATCTGAAGCAACCGCTCCTACCGCAGAGGAACCACACGGCCGCGGGCGGCCAGCCCTCATGCCAGCGCTCGGCCATGCCCATGGCGAAGATGAAGCCGCAAGCTGCTGCGTCATCGCTTCCCGCCTTGGCCTTGTGCACCGTGCCCCGTACGTGCCGCCAGACTCCATTCTCTGGGAACGGAGGCAACTTGCTGTCGGCGCTGGCCGCAGCCGCGACCACTGCGGCGGCAGCGTCGCCCTCCCCGTCCGAGTCCGACTTCTCGTGCTCGGAGGCTTCAGGGAAGATTGCGTCGCTGCCTGACTCGCCGTGCTCACCTGTCCATGCGCACGGGTGCCTGTCGGCTGGCCGACACCGCAGGCAAAGCATCAAGGCGCACCTCTCGCACTCGGCGAGGCACGGCGGTGTAGGGTGCACCTTTGCTGAGCATGCTGCGCACTCGGACGGAACGATCAGGCTGGACAGGCAAACTGAACAGCCGGCTGGAGCTCGCATCACCTGCTTCCACCTGCCTGACCTGGTAGCGTCCGGGTCAAACTCCTTCCGTCCAATCAGCTCCACGACCCTGCGGAGCTCGTGCAGCGGCCCTGCTAGAGCATCTCTCGAATACTCCAGCGCGCTCTTCGCGTTCGGATCAGCGTGTCCGCCAAGCAGCCTGCGGGATTCAACCGGCAGGCCAGCCTTAGCCGCCCAGGACAGAACAGTGGCCCTCGCTGACCGTGAACTGTAGTCCTTGGGCTGCACCGCGCCCAGCTCCGCGTTGCCGATGAGGGCGCGCAGCCACGAGGTCGCCGCCTCCGTGGTCATCCGGCCGCGGCCGAAAGAGCCATCCATGAGGACTTCCGGCTGGAGGCACCCGTCCTTTTCCGCCGCCAGGCCTGCTTGCCTCCGAAGGCTGAGCCAGGCTGCAGCCCAGCGCGCCCCGCCGATCCCCCGGGACAAGGCTACGAGCGGCAAGGCCATGCCGGCCTTCTTCGCCTGGGTGCCCGTCTTGTGTTGTCCGAAGAGGGCCCTGGCCTCGATGAAGCCGTGCCCGTCTGCTCCTTCGTCCAGAACTGGTTCGTGGCAGACTCTCGCCGAGTCCTTGCATCTCGTGCGTGAATGCGTGAGCCACAGCAGGAAACCCGCCACCACCGCTCTACTTAAGGGATGCCCGTCTAGACTGCTTACCGCCGCTTCCGTCACCTCGGTTTCAAGCCACAACGCGAAGATGACTGGTAGGGGCGGGACCTTGACCGTCTCCCTCCGGCGCTTCAGGCCTCTGAATGCCAACCCCCTGGACCTGGGCGTAAGCACGTTGTCGACGTCAACCTTGAAGAAGTAGCCCAAGAACGCCACTGCCTCCAAGAAGGATGACCCCCTGCTCGCGGACACCGCAACTGTGCCCCGCAGGTACTCCTGGACGACCTCTTCTGCCAGCGGGAAGGCGTCCACCTGCCGGCTCTCAGCCCATGCCGCGAACTGCAGGAGAGACCCTGCACGCTTCTGCAGCGTCGCCGTGGCCCTCGTCTCTAGCGTGTCGCGTGCGAGCAGCCTGAGGCTCTCGCCTGGAGTGACTGTCATGGCCCCTGACTTGTGGACCTTATCTAGCAGCAGGGTCCACTTGCTCAGGGCGTGCTCTCTCTCCGCTACCTCCGCTACCTCGGGAGGAGGCCCTGGAGCCCTCCTCACCGTGGTTGCGGCGGTGGTTTGACCCTCCCTTGCTTCCACCTCTGCAGGCGCATCGGTGCTCTGATGACGGTCTGGTGGAACAGGCTGTGCTTGAATCAGAGGTGGCACCTGCGGCCGCGCAACGCCCGGTAGCCCTGGCGGGCCGCCCCAGAGACCCAGCTCCCACGGCAGCCGCGGGCCAGGCTGCCGAACACCGAGGAGGCTCCAGGACATCAGCCGCTACCCCCCCCTTGAGCCCGGAGAGGGACCGCTAACCCCCCCTGAGCGAAGAGAGGGACTTGTGCAGAGAGATGCCTACGGAAAGGGAGGCAGAGGGAGAGGGGAACGTATACTGCGTATAAGGTGCCAGGCGACAGCATAGCATCACACTCAAACCATTGGTGCGCTTCGGTCCCGATGGCTTGTTAACAAACGAAACACTGGGGGTCCGAGCGCAGCTGGACGGAGTGGAGCCGCACTGGAGCCCACACTCCCGCAACCCAGAACGTGCGAAGGGCTCCTCTCCGTCCAGCGTCCCAAACCGAAAGCACCACATGCGACATGGCACGCCTCCAGCACGTCTGCCCTTGGCTTTCAGGGAGGTGGGCAAGGATACGGGCCACCTGCCATCGCCAGAGTCCCTCCTCCAAGAAACCTCGGGCATCCGAGGGGCAAACTCGCGTGAGATCAATCACTTGGCCGTCGTCGCTAAACAACATAGTGGGCCTAGCATGTGCCAAACTACTCTGAGGTGCGAGACCCAAACCGTGGCAATGGCACCCCGGGCCCCAATACAGGAAGCCCTGCGCTGGATTCGCTGCCTGATAGATAACCACGCACTAAAAAGACGACTCGGCACAACCCTTCCATCTCAACCAAATGAAGCAAACCTCGTAGACCACGGCTTAATGACCTCAAACATAGGGTCGAACCGCTCGTCTTTCTGGGCGCCTAAAGGGTCGAACACATCCGTGGGCGCGCTCCGACCATGCCTCCAGCATACGTGCGAAGCTCACGTAGGGTCGTGTCTGGCAAAGCGGAAACGCCAGCGCCGTGGCCACCTGCTGGGAGAAACCCGTTCTCCATAGAATCTAGACCGCCTCTGGCACAACGCGTCGGAGACCCCAAACCTTACGACGCTTCTGCTGCAGCACTCGGAGACTACACTTCTCCTGAACCCGATCTACCCTAGAGCCATACATCTCATGGCCCAAATTGCGCATGGACTTCTTGCTCTTGAGGTCCAGGGGGCCATGCAACGAGCAACTTTGCCCCTGGTCGAACGATTGTTGGCGACAAATCCGCTCTTGCTGACCTGCACGATCGGGCCAAGAGGAGCGACGTCCTGACTGAAGCCGCGCACGGCCACGGCTAAAACTCTTGAGTAATCGCCCCTTCTCCCCCGCGAGCCCGCCTCCCCGCCCAGTGGAAACTGATGTCGTCAATCAGGCCACGTGGGGTGATCGACTTTTGAACAGCTATAGTCCTACCTGAGACCCTGCAAAGCAGAAACATTAACATGGACGTATCCATCGAGCACCCAGCGAGGATGCCTTGGGAAGAGGAGATGGAGTGAACGAGGCAAACAAACGCCTTGAGGACTCTAGGCTGCTGGACGTAGCTCTGAATGGTCGTTCAAGCGAGCCACATGGGGAACCCCGTGGCTCTGGCCGCCTCCCAGAGGGCCTGCAAATTCACTAGCTCGTAACAACTCATCATGTCTATGAAAACCGGAATGCTGTCTTCCTGCGACTCACGGGCAATATCCGCGATAGAGTCGAACGAGAAAGCACTATCGCTGGACGACCGCATGGCTCCAGTCCCCGGGGGGCGCTCGCATCAATGAGCGCTCTCCCGTTCAACTGCGAGAGGACGGAGGGCTATGAGACGGACCCCGCCCCCCCGCGAGCTTTGGGGGGCGCAGGAGTTGAGTGAGCAGGCGGACAGAGGGCCACATGAGCACCGACTCGCATTTGGTAAACGACCTGGCCAGAGCTCTCAACCCCATCCGCGCAAAGAAAAATCAAAGATCTGGGAGACAACTCGAAGTGACCGACGCCCGTGCCCCAAGGAAACTGCATCATCGCTTTTTCCAGATCGACGACGGTCAGAGCTGGCAGAGGCTCCCATTGATCTGCGTCGGGCAGAAACTGCAGTGCATCGAGATCGTGAACTGTCCGGGTCCGGCCCCCGTCACGCACAGCAGCGTCCGCCATCTCATGCGGCTGCATCTCGGAGCCGGCCAGCAAGCAGGCGTCGAGCACCTCCGGCAGGGCGCGACCTCGCACGTGACGATGTGCGAATCGCGCCCTGTTCTTGAACGACGAAGCCGCCGGTGCCTTCAACGCTACAGAGTGGCAGACTGGGCCCTCATGGCTTGGCGCTTGGCGCCATCGGCCTCCATCCTATCCAGCATGGTGTCTGTGCCCCTACCAACGATGAAGTCAATGCCGTTCGCCAGGAAACGCATGGAGTCTTCATTGAGATGGCCACGCCAGCAGCACGAGCCCAACACCTGGTGATATCGACGAGCGTCTTCGCAGCCTTGTCGGCCCCGGGCTCTGGCATCTCGTCGATCAGCAGCACGGTGACCTGCCGGATGAAGGCTTGACGATGCCTACGGAGATGCCGAGCCCAACAGGCTGCCGCAGCTGAAGTCATGTCCACAATCGACCGCGCGCCACGCCTCAAGGGCGGCTGCCACCGCAATTTGGCGTCCTGGCCTCGGTGGAGCTCGCCCTCAGCCTCGGCAAGATCGCGTTGTCCCAGGAGCTCTAGCACTAAGTGGGCCAGCGCTGCGTCCCAAGCAACTCCCAATGAATTGTCTTCGCAAGCTGCATCGATAAGCTCCTCTACCATATGCCAGCGCTCTGGGTGTCGTGAGAAACTGACTGCTGGCTGTCGAGGGACAGCTCGCGGCGCCTTCAGCACACGTACCTTCAAATCAATGTCCCGACCACTGATGGGCAACACACCTGCCATGTGCGGAAATGTCTCGGTCTCCTCTTGAATAAAAGGGCGGCGAGTGCGCGAAAGCAAATTCGTGGTAAACATATGTAGTCGATCCTCCGCCCAGATAACGACTGACGACGCGTGCCAACAGGAGGTTAGGAAGGGCGCCGCCGAGACCATGTAGCCACTAAAGGTCGCCCAGCTCGTCGCGCTCCATATTGAAGTCACCAGCTATGACTCAATCAAGTCCTAACTCGTTGAGTACTTCCACAGATTCGCATATCTCCTGCAAGATGCCAACGTTGCGGTCCGTGCCGTCTTTTCGGGGAGACGTACTTAAGACTTAAGACTCGGGTTCGGGGGACTCGGGTTGGCCCGAGGGGGGCACCATGAGAATGACGAGATCCAATCTGAAATTTGACGCGAGCTCCCGCTGCAAACATCCCACGAAAACAGGACCGTCAAAATCCAGGACGCGCTCGTCAAAAAGCGTTGGCAAACCCGAGTTCTGGCGTACTCGAGTCTTACGTACCCCCGACATTCACAACCAGATACAGAGTGATCATGATGAATCCGCCCAGAATGCCCCAATGCATGTGTGCTGCAAGCGCTAGCCCGTCAGCAAACTCGGGAGGAGCCCTCGCAAGCGTTGCCGTGACCAGAATGCCAGCCTGCGCGGCGACGGCGAGACCTGCCTTCGTGCCCTTTTGGTGGCCAGTGCGGCGCACTGCCGTCCAGAGCCCGCGCCATCCAGAGTCTTGAGCACGATGCTGCAAGTCGGCCAAGCGGTCTTGGGGCACGTGATGCTCTTGTAGCGCCACCATGGTCTTGTAGCGCCAACAAAGTGAGCATCTGGCCCTCTTCTGAAAAGTTCAGACGAAACAAATAAACCCTTACAACTGCCATCGCCATGGGGGCCATCTGCGCTGTCCATGGGGACAATATCATCTTCCTCATATTTCCTGGAACTGTGGCCGACCCGCTCCGGGGCCAGGGATCGGGCGTGAGGATTTTTGAAAATGTTGACGCACTGTTTACCCTGCCTGCGATCAGACGCAGTACGGTTTCCAGGGGAACGCCCAGACCCGCGAGAAGTCGTCCCCGTGGCGCCAGCGATCGACGCAGACAAGGAAGCTCGCGAAGAAGACGCACCACAGCTCAAGGTCGAACTGCTGTTGTCGAACAGGGGGTTCGCCTCCATGCTGGCCGCCGACGTACCCAAAGCACGAGAGGACATGCAGCACGGCAGCCATAACATCATCAGCCGCATCCGCATCAACATCATCAACATCAGAATCATCATCAGCAGCAGCATCATCATCACCATCATCATCATCATCATCATCATCATCATCATCATCATCATCATCATCATCATCATCATCCTCATGCTGATCATCAGCAGCGGCATCATCATCATCAGCATCATAATCATAATCAGCATCATCATCAGCATCAGCATCACCATCCTCAATTCAGTATCATCAGCATCATCATCGTCATCACATCATCACCATAAACAGCAACAACATCAGCATCATCGTCATCATCAGCATCATCATCGTAATCGGCATCGTCACCATCATCAGCAGCATCAACATCACCCTCATTAGCATCAGCATTATCATCAGCATCATCCGTTCATCATCATCATCATCGTCATCATCATCATCATCATCATCATCATCATCACAATCAACATCAGCGTCAACAGCATCAGCATCAGCATCATCATCGTTATCATCAGTATCATCAGCATCGCAATCACAGCATCATCAGCAGCAGCATCATCGTCATCATCACCATCAGCAGCATCATCATAAGCAGAAACACCATCAGCATCATCATCAGCAGCATCATCAGCATCAGCAGCATCATCATCATCATCCCCATCATCATCAGCAGCATCATCAATATCAGCATCAGTCGCATCATCAGCATCACCATCAGCAGCACCATCATCATTTCATCATCATCAGCAGCATCAGCAGCAGCAATAACATCATCAGCATTATCATAATCACCATCATCATTATCCACAACCGTCCCAAGTTTGGCATCGTCAGTTCGGGCCTTCTTGGCAGCCATCTCCAGCCACCGATGCCCTCGGTGATCTTCCGCACCTTACCGCGGAGCTCCACCTCCTCGGCCGCGGCCTCGACTCCGAAGCCGCGCAGGAAATCTCGCAATTCCTCTGGCGTGGCGGCCTCAGGGTCAGGAGGTCAAGCCCTGGCGCAGGCTGCCCAGCAGCGGCCGCCGCCTGGGGCACCTCCGTGGGCGACTCCTGCCAGCGCGCACGAGCCTCGGCAGCTGCCGCTTCGGCCGCTGCAGCCGCCTCGGCCTTGATTTTCGCCAGCTGTGGGCCTCCTGCAGCGTCTCGCCCAGCTTCCTGGCCAAGCCTCCGTCGTCGCCAAGCTCGAACAGCACCGCGCCGAGCTTCCCGACCGTGACCCCCAGCGCGGCGACCATGTCCTCCTCGAGACCCTTGCCGACGGCCGGGGGCCTGGGCATCGTAGCCGCGAGCCTGGTCTGCTCCTCTGGGAGCTCCCGGATCGCACGGTCGGCCTCCTCCAGCGCAAGCTCCTGCTCGGCGACTTCCTGCTTCGCCTGCTCCAGCTTGGTCTTGGCCGTCTCCAGCTGCTCAGCCTACTTAGACTTCCTCTGCTGCAGCTTGGACATTTTGAACGACATCGCACGCAGCTAAGCGGGTATCGGATTGGAGCTCTCGAGCTCGGCCTCGAGCCGGTTTTTCTCCGCCTCCAAGTTGGAAGCCCTGGATGGCGCGGCGGGCCTCGTCGATCTCACCCATGCGGGTGCGCTTCTGGGCACTGCTGGCTGCAGTGGCCCACTCGCCCGAGTCGACAACCATCTCATCCTTTGTCCAGGCATGATTCTTTCCGGCTGCCTGCACGTTGGCAAAACGCTACGGACTTGAGCCAACATGGCTACGGACTGGAGGCAAGATAGTGGAGGAGGTGGAGAAGAAGGAGGAGAAGGAGGAGAAGGTGGAGGAGCCAGGAGAAGCCAAGAGGGAGGGAAAGTTGGAGACCGCAATGTTCCATTCGAAACGAAAACCTAAGGCAGGATGGTCGGGATCAAAACAAAAACGTCGAATAACCTCTTTGTCCTCGGTCCTCGATCTGCCACAGCCCCGCGTTCCTGCGTCAGTCGTCCTTCTTGGCGACGTCATCCTCCTCCGCGCCCCAAATCTGGGTGGCGCGACGCATGACATTGACTGGCGTCTTGTCCGGCTTCTTGTCCAGTGAGCCCTGGTGCAGAGGTGCAACCGTCCCCCCCTCCTCGTCCTCCTCCTCCTCCTCCTCCTTCTCCTCCTCGCCGCCTTTTCCTCGTCCTCCTCGGCCTCGTCCTCGTCCTCATCCTCATCGAAATGTTCTGGCGAATCTGGCCCTGTTTAGCCACCAGGTGCCTATTCAAGCCACCTCTGTGGACCTTCCTTTCCATGGAGGCCCCTCCAGGAAGAGGTCTCTAGAGCCTCCAGGCGCACGGCTCAGGCTGAGTTTCCCCCTCCTTTCTTCTCTCCCTCATCCATTTCGCGCCCGAGCGATCCCCCCTGCACAGGGCGCGCAAGGGTGTTTCGCGGGCCAAATTCAACATGGCCCTGCTCGCGAGAGCTGACATCACAAAGCGTGGCGCCCCACGTCATCACCTATAATGCTGAGATCAGGTGCGCGCGCGCCAGCCAGGAGACTTGACACAATCCGTCCTCTCCTTGTTCCTTCCCTCCTCCAGCCCCTCCTCCACCTTTTGTCGAACAGTGGCGCCAGTTGCGGCGCCGCTGCCAAAGTGCAGGCGAGTATGAGGAAGCTGGAGCAGCACATCGCCAGCGACGATGGCGGGAGTGGTGCGCGCGAAAGTAGGCGATCTGGGACCAGCCAAAATCAGAAGCGTCATGAGCTACAGCTGGCGGCGCGCAGAGGGGGGTAGGGGTAGGGGGAAAGGTTCCTTGGAAGGAGGTTGTTTCTTAAAAGGCGCCAGCCTTATATCTACAGATAAGGCCCGCGCCTTCTAAGAAACAGGGGTGTCCCAGGAAGCCTTTCCCCCCTTCCCTATCCCCCTTCTGCGCGTGGCTGAAACAATGCTGGGAAAGGTCCATGTGGCGACACCGCGCAAGCTAACGTCACCAACAACATTGCTGGGGCCAGTTTGTGTTGGCGACGCCAAACCGAGGAGCAGTTCGAGAACGCAAGGAATGGCAGCAGGGACTGTCAACACTCCACACCGAGAAAACGGCCACGCGGGAGACACAGATCCAGCTACACAGCAGCGGGGGTCAGCTCGTGCGAAACCACGGGCAGTGGCAACATGGTCTGCCGGTGCGAGAAGGCAAGAACTGGCAGCAGAGGTCGTCTGTGCCAACTAGTCACGCAGGAGCAATACCTTCGGTTACATTGCAGTGGGGGTCAGCTCGTGCGAGAAGGCACGCGTTGGCAGCAGGTTCAGTTGGCGCGAGAAGGCAGCAACGGCTATCGCTGCCAAACGGCCACGAGCAACATCTTCACCTGCACTACAGCGAAGGTCAGCTCGCACGAGAGGGCAAGCAGTGGCTGCACGTGCGGTCGGTGCGAGAAGGCAGGCAGCGGCAGCAGTGGCTGTCGGTGCCAAGTGGCGAGGCAAGAACACGTCATTAGCTACGAGGCTGCTGGGGTCATCTCGGGCTAGAAAGCAGTGGCAGCAAGGACTCTCAGTGCGAGACAGGAGGCAGTAGCAGCAGCGCCTGTCGGTGCGAGAAAGCAGGCAGCGGCAGCTGTGGTTGTCGGTGCCCGCCAGCGCAGCAAGAACACCTTATCAGCTACAGCGCTGCTGGGTTCAGCTCGTGCGGGAAGGGCAAGCAAACAGTGGCAGCGGGAGCTAGCAATGCGAGAAGCGAAAGCAGTGGCAGCAAGGCTGACGCTGCGCGCAGAAGAAAGCACACGTGCAAACGCCACCAGCTACAACGCGGAGCCAGCTCGTGCGAAATAGCGAGTTTCCCAACAAAAGGCAGCACGCGGCGGGGTACGCCAGGGCGTTCAGCAGGCCACCGCGCAGGGCTATGCTGCCGAAGGACGTGGCCAGACAGATGGGCCGACCGCCGGGGGGGGGGGGCATCCCCCCCCCCTTCGTCGCTCGTCGTTGCCACGGCTGGGCCCTCGTCGCCACGTGAGAGAAACGGCATGGGGAAGAGGTAGCTGGACTGCGCGTCACCAGCTACAATTCGGCAGATCAAACCTGGTCGCCACGACAAGCCTGGGGTAGGGGCGGTCTTGTTCGCCGCCAGCGTGTGTCCCGCAGCTTCAGAGGTCAGGCCAGCAGAATCCTCCCTACTCCTTCCTCCCTTTCATTGAGGGCGGCTCCAATCCAAGCGGTCGGGGACCCATAGACGCAGAGGCAGTTTGCATCGGAAGATGTCAACGGAGCACCCGCCTAAACTGTAGACAACTTCTGGCAAAGAGGGTGAACGACACTTAGGACACCGCACGGATCCTAGTGAATGTTCCCTGGAAGCACACAACGCTTCAGCATCGCATTGCGCGCTGCTCTGGACAGTATCGCGCGGAGAAGTTACGCGCACATTGCAAGTGCAAGTTGAGGTGAAACATTGTCGCGGCAGGAAAGGCTGGAAGGAAGGAGCGAACCCCTTTCATGGTGGAGGGACTCATTTGGCGGTAACACATTTTTTCGACGTGTTCGAAAAGCGTCCTGGCTGGCGTCACGGGTGGCACTGCTGTTCCTCCTCACCGCGGTCCTCATCGAGTTCACGGGATGCATGCTATTCTGTATTATCAGCTCGCTTCACGACTGGTCTGACAAGACTGGTCCCATCTCTTCTCATCACCTCGCTCCCGTCAACCCCTACTCCTGGCTGGAGTGTCCCTCTCCGCACATCGGCTCTCCAGCCATTTTCTATAGGTCCGCTGAACTTGCCCGCCCGACCAGTCCGTTAGGGTCCGCCCCCCCGACCCGCTCGTCAGGGTCCGCCTGCTCCCTTGCTTGGAGTCCGCCCGCCCCACCAGCCCGACCCACCCATTAGGGTCCGCCCGCGCGACCCGCCTCCCAGACATTCGATGTCTTGATTTTTCAATACGGAATTCCGGCATGTCCCGGCCCTTCCCCCAGGGCCTATTTTTCATCCCGAGTATGTTCTCTATGGCCCCGAAGCCCCAACACGACCCCCCAGAAGCCGAAAACGAGGAATGATCTCCGCTTTGATATTTTCAAGACGTCGGAAGCCCAGGCTCCTCCCTCATCCCTCCTGGCTCGACGTCGTCGGGAACGCGCTGACCCGGGTCAACGCTTACCGTCAACCCAGCTCAGACAGGGCCATGTCCCGAACAACGGCTGGCCCAACGCAAGGCGGGGAGGGGAGGTTGGCTCCACATGGCCCCAAAACCCAGATCAGCCGGGGGGCCACCAGACCTCTCGACCACTTCCATGGGTCGGATTTTCATCCCTGCTCGTTTTCGACGGTCCCGAAGCCCGGAGCCAGGCTGGAAATCAAGAATAATTGTAAAAAAGCCGCTTCAGATTTTTCGATGCGCTGGATGTCTGGCTAGCGCTGAACACTTTTCAGGCGTCCCCGACACCAACCCGTGGTCCCGGGGTCCTGGGTTTTAAAACAGGTCCTCCTGCATTCAAAAACGCGCATTTGGTGGTCAAAGAAATGTGTGTCCAAAAAAGTGTTTCCAGGCTCTGGCCGTGAAAGGTGTGCCACGATTGGCCAGGCGTTGCAATATGAAGTGTAGGGTTATCCGTTCCCGCTGCATTGAATTTCAATTGCATTGCGTTGGATTGCAGTGGCATTGAATTGCATTGGCATTGCATTGCAATGCATCGCATTGCGTTGCACTCGCAACTGCACGAGATCTCGTTTCCACTCAAGCCGAATACGAGTTGACCACTCACAAACACCAAAGAGTTGACCACTCACAAACGCCAAAGTGGTCAACCAGCAACCAGCCAACCGATCAACCAACAAACCAGCCTACCTACCAACCAACCAGCAAACCAATCAGCCAGCCAACCAGCCAACCAACTAACCAACGAACCAACCGACCGATCCTTCCCGTGGCATGCTTCAGGATGTCCCACACCACGGGGCCGGAATAGATATTTGTTGGCTCAGCAACCTGCCAGCCAACCAACCAGCCAACCACTCCAGAAATCCGCCGACCCTGTCGGCGTGTGGCCCCCTGTCGGCGTGCGCTCAGTCGACGCATCCGTTGTCCTCTTTCCCTGCGTCTCCGTTGCACCCTCCTCTTCAAGCCTGCCAGCGAAAGAAAACCGTAGCAACTTCGTACTTAAGTCGAAGGGAAGCCCCTTCCCTTTGATCCCTCCCCCGCCGAAGAGGGGAAGGGTCCCGGGGGGGTCCCAAGGGGGGTCCGGGGGAGGGTCCGAGGGGGGGGGGTCAGTTACGCATCCGCCCCCGGGCGTCCCGGAGCCCATAAAAGCGCCAAGACGCGCCAAGAGTGCCCTAAGAGGCCCCCAAGACGGTCCAAGAGTGCCCCGAATCGACGAACGATCTGTCCAAGACGCCTTCACAGCTTCCAGACGGGTCGAGAGGCGTGCAAGACGCCCCCAGAAGCATCCAGGATCACTCCCAAGACGGCCCCCATGAGGCAACATTCATTCATTTCCTATGCGTTTTGGAAAAACTAAGGCGTTCTGGCCTCTTCCGACTGCCCAAGAGGGCCCCAAGAAGGCCACGAGACAGCCCAAGAGGGCCAAGACAGCCCAAGAATGCCCCAAGAGGGCCCCAAGCAGGCCCAAGAAGAGGACCACGAAGCGATATTTCGAGCTTCCCGACCCAAGAAGCCCCTGGGAGGCCCCAAGAGCCCCTCAAGGGGCCCGAAGAGGCCCCCAAGAGACCCCCAAGAGGCCCAACAGAGGCCCCAACAGGCCCGAAACCATCCAAGAGGCCTTTCAACCACAACCCCAGCACGGTGGCGGGAAGGGCCGCAGGCCACAAGGCTCCCTGTCTGTCTCTGCTACAACTCCCTCGGCCCACATGGGGAACATCTCCTTCGCCTTCTCTACTCCCTGCACCATAATCCCCCTCCTCCTCCTCTTCCTCGTATTCGTCGTCGTCGTCTTCAGGGTCGGCGGCACCGGCCGTAAGACCTCAGCAATATGCGTTTTAACCCGGCAGCCAACCAACCAACCAGCCAGCCGGGACAAACTTTTGGGGGCGTTTTTCTTAAGGATGTCTCACACGGCGGGCCCTGGAACAACTTCTTGACCCATAACAGGTTGCTCGAACCCCGAAAAAACAGCTTTCCTCACACGCCGAATGAATACTTTGTTTTAACCCTTCTCCCCTGGTCCCCTCCCCGTCCACCCAGGGGCTCCTTCGCCGGGCTCGCGTCACATGAAGACCTCGGCGAGAACGGAGACGGCCCACCCAAGGAGGACAACCACAGACGCGGCTGGCAGGGCAGGACGACGACGACCGACGACAGGAGCGAGGACGACGATGACGACGATGACGACGATGACGACGCTGACGACGATGACAACGACGACAACGACAACGACGACGATGACGACGACAACGACGACGACGACAACGACAACGATGACGACGACGACGACGACGACGACGACGACGACGTCTACGGCGGCGGCGGCGACGACGACGACCACGACAACAGCGGTGGCGGCGGTGGCGAAAACCACTCCTCGTCCTCCTCCCCCTGCTCCTCCTCCTCCTCCTCCTCCTCCTCCTCCTCCTCCTCCTCCTCCTCCTCCTCCCCCTCCCCGTAGTCCTCGTCCACCTCCTCCCCCTTTGTGTCTTCCTCCTCCTGCTCCTCCTCGTCCTCCTTCTCCTCCACCTCCTCCTCATCCTCCTCCTCCTCCTCATCATCATCACCATCAGATTCCTCCCCCTCTTCCTTCTCCTCCTCGTCCTCCTCCTCCTCCTCCTCTTCCTCCTCCTCCGCCTCCTCCTCATCCTCCTCCGCTTCATCCCCCTCCTGTTCCCCATCGTCATCCTCCTGCACATCGTCATCATCATCATCATCCTCCTCATCATTATCAACACCACCATCATCGGCATCATCATCATCATCATCATCATCATCATCATCATCATCATCATCATAATCATCATCAACATCATCATCATCATCAGCAGCAGCAGCAGCATCCGCATGATCATCATCATCACACTCCCCCTCCTGTGCATTTGGCCTCCAGGGGGAGCCATCGTCGCCGCGGCTGGACGCGCCTCGAAGCAAGGGCCATGTGGTAGTCCCCGAAACAGATTTCTAACGGATTGCGCCCCGACCGCGCACGGAGAGCCTGGAGCGCGTTGGAAATCGAAGAAATTCTGGCAGTGGTAGTTGTCCCCATCGGTCCCGCTGAAGTCTCAGTGCCGCAGGCCACACTGGGGCCTTCGGTGGAGCTCCCTATGGGGCCACGAAAAAAAAAGTGAGGGGTGTGCCAAAATCTGGTGGTGGGGGAGGCATTCGGGCGCGGCCGCTGGGGCCTTCGGTGGAGCTCCATACTGGGCCACGAAACGTGTGAGGGGTGTGCCGAAATCGGTGGTGGGGCGGCATGCGGACGCAGCCGTTGGGGCCTGGAGCTCCCTATGAGGCCACGAAAAGTGTGAGGGGTGTTCCGACATGAGTGTGGGGGAGGCATGCGGGCGCAGCCACTGGGGCCTTCGGTGGAGCCCCCTGTGGGGCCACGAACCGTGTGAGGGATGTGCCGATGCTGATGACGACGATGGTGATGCTGACGCCAATGCTGGTGAAGATGACTGTGATGATGACGCCGCTGGCCATGATGATCGACCGTACCTGAGGCGAGCCAGTTCGCACGCATCGTCAGCCGCGTTAGATGTCAGTGGCGTGCTGTGCTGCTGCGAAGGCGGCTCGCTGTTGGCTTGGCGTGAGCTGGTCCCCATGGGTCACCGCAGCTTTCGCCTTATGGTAAGTATGGAATGCCAACACGGCCAAACGCAGCGCATCAGCGCGCGAGAACGTGCAGCTCTCACAATTGTATTCGTTGTCGGCCGCTAGGCCGAGGAAAGTCAGTGGGTTGGAGGGGAGGCCGACGAGGGAACGGAGGACGGGGCAAGAAAAATAATGGGCAATGGAGTCAGTCTGGGCGCACCCAAAAAGGCAATTGGCGATCCCACGCACGTGGATTCGATGGCTGGTAGTCCAGCCGCCTGCGAGGGTCTTAAGGATTGACCACTGCCATGCAGGTTTGAACTTCTTAATCGTTGCAAGACAATCCCCCCACCGCTCCGCCACCCCGCTCACGATGCTATCAGCAAGACCCCAAGCGTTCAGACGCTTGGAGATAGTGACTTCAAATTTATTGGGGAAGAGATTGAGGCGGAGGAAGGAGGAGATCGTACGCTGGAGCTTGGGCTTCTTGCCCACCGCTTGCGCCGCACGGGTTTCCATGCGGCCTGCTGCATGCGAGGCTCTCCACTGGACAATTGGGATGCCTCGGCGGGGTGGGCGATTCACTAAATCTGCGAAACGCTGGGCGATCCCCTGCTTTTGGATCCAGCAGGGGGCGCTCCACTCTCCTTTGATCCAGTCAACGACGGGGCAGGTCAGCGCCGCCGTTTCGCGCCACCTGTCGAGCTCTGCTGCCCAGTCAGTGATCGTGAGAGTGGAGCAGCGCCACATACTAGCCGCTCCTAGGATCAGGGCGGACTGTGGGGCCACTAAACCGTGTCCCGTGAAAGAGAAAACATCTGCTTTGCGAAACGTGGCCGCTGGCCATGATGATGATGACGATGATGATGACGCTGATGATGATGATGATGCTGATGACGATGACGATGACGATGACGATGACGATGACAATAACGATGACGATCATGATTATGATGATACTGATCCTGATGATGCTGAAGATGAAGCTGAAGATGAAGCTGAATATGATGGTGCTAATGATGATGATGATGATGATGATGATGATGATGATGATGATGATGATGATGATGATGATGATGATGATGATGATGATGATGATGATGATGATTATGATGGTGGTGATGATGATAATGATAATGATGATGATCGTGGTGTCGATGGTGGTGTGATGACGACCACGATGGGGATAATGATGGCGATCATTATGATGGAGATCATGCTGATGAGCCTGAAGATGATGATGGTAGGAAAAAAGAGGGAGGAGGAAGGAAGGAGAGGAACGCGCGGCGCTGTCTCATCAAATCGAGGACCCAAGACCACAGGATGGTTGGGAACTAAACGACGACGACGTCGACAACGACGTCGACGACGTCGTCGTTTGCCGGGGCGGACGACAAGGGGGGATGCAAATCAGTTGACGAGAGGGGGGGACAGCAAAGGAGGGTGATAGCGAATCAACTGCATGTAACTGGCTTCTCTATGTCGTGCCCCCTCCCCAGCCTGAGCCCCGCCCACCCACTTCGCCCAACCTGGACGAGCACCCCTGAGTTGGGCCATCTGGGGGTCCTCTTGGGGCCCCCGCGACCCTCTTGGGGTTACCTCGAGCCTCTCGCGCCCTCTGCAAAGCCGACGGGACGCCTTGGGGCGCCCTGGCGTCCCAAGACGTCCGACCCGGTCGAGCGCCCCGCCTGCCCACCCTCTCCGCTGCCCCCCGAGCGCCCTGAGGCGCCCGCCCCCTCGCTCTGCACTTCGCCACGCTCTTCTTGATCGCAGGCCCGGCCTGGCCGGCGGGGGACAACGCCGACGACGCCGACGCCAACGTCGAAGCCGACGCCGAAGCCGACGCCGACTGCGCCGACGCCGACGCCGCCGCCGACGAGGAAGGTTGTCAGCATCTGACCATGTTCAAGTCTCTGGAGGCCTCTGGAGAACTCCTCGGACCTCCAGGGCCTCAGACCTGGCTGGAAGTGTAGAAAGACGTGAGAGAAAGACGAAAGCAGAAGCGGTGAACTTCGAATCGATAAATCGAGCCTGATCAGAACGATCATCGAATCGGGCAGCATCAGCACGGAGTTGGAATCGAATCCAATCGACCACGCAAGGATGCACAACGGCGCCATGTCGGGCTGCATCGGATCGTCCGAATCCCACCAGCCCTTTAGGGCGTGAATGCTTTAGGGAGTTTCCTCCTCTTCCAACCCCCTTCTGCCCTTTCGGGGAGGGGTTAATCACTGTTCCCTATTAATAAACACCCACTCTCTCAGGCCACTGGCAGCCAACCACGACCAATGCCCACACACACACACACACACACACACACACACACACACACACACACACACCTTCCCGATCCAAGAAATGCGAAGCACATTTTGGGACAACATCCTGGGCCATGCTCGTGGGCCCCGCGAGCACTCCGTATGGATGTTTGACCAGGACAACAGGAATGCCCGCATATTGCCTGCTATGCGCCAGGCTATCATCCCAGTCCAAAAAAAAATACAACATGCACTTTGCGGCTAAATCTGGATCATGCGCGGCCACCCAGCTATTACAGGTCATTGGTGAAGGATAAGGACCGTAAGGGTGCTGGCACATTGCCTGCTGTGCGCAGGCCAATCAGACAACATGATGGCCTCCCCGCTGCGATTGCGCACTGGCTTTCGACAAAGATGGTGGGGGCCGACATGTTTCCCGATGGGTGATGTCACGTGCGCAGGCGCACCTGGTACACTCTGCGCGTGCCCCAGACGTTGCGCACCTGGCACGGCTGAGCCATGCTGCACACATGGCGCACGTGGAGCACGTGGCGCATCTGGCGCGCGAGGCTTTCCTGGCACGCTTGTGCCCCAGGGGTGCCTGGCGCACCTGGAGCACCTGGCACGCGTGGCGCATCTCGCCCCATCGCGCACATGGGATCTGCATCGGTTCCCAATAGCCGCTCATCCATAGGCGACCGCTGAACATGCTGAGTCCCGGGTGCTACTTACGTGTTGAGAGGGCGGGTGGGAATGAGCGAGACAACTTGCGAGCGGGAAGGGTGTCAAAATCACAATTAATAAACAACCCCTCCCCCAGGCGACCGGCAATCAACATAGTTACTCCCGCCACCACCCCGATCACAAAACAAGGCAAAGCGCACTCTGCCTCAACATTTGAAGCATACGCGGCCAACCCGATGCGGCCGCCACACAACCATCCTTGTCAAAAGCCATACAAAGTACACTTTCGGGCAAAGTCTTGAGTCATGTTCGTGTTACCTTTCGACCATTATGTATTGGTTTGAACAGGGGCGGCGGGGGTATCAGCACATTGCCTGCTGTGCGCAGGGCTACCATTGCCAACAAAAAACAATACAAATTGCACCTCGCGGCCAAATCTGGATCATGCGCGGCCACCCGCGATCACTGTCAAGTGGTTTTTGACAGGGACGGCGGGGGTGGTGGCGTAGGGCCTGCTGTGCGCAGACCCAGCAGACACAATGATGGGCATATTGGTTTTCGACAAGGATAGTGGGGGCCGACATGTTTCCCGATGTGTGCTGTCACGTGCGCAGGCGCACCGAACACACTCTGCACGTGCCCCGAACGTGGCGCACTTGGCGCGGCTGGAGTATGCGGCACATCTGGCGCACGCGGAAGACGTGGCGCATCTGGTGCAACAGGAGTGCTGGCACGCTCGGGCCCCATGGGTTCATGCGCGCGTGGCGCGCCTGGCACGCGTGGCGCACATCGCCCCAGTGTCGCGCACATGGGCTCGGTTTTGGTTCCCACTAGCTGCCCATCCAAACACGACCGCTGAACATTCTCAGGCTCGGGTGCTACTTCTGTGTTGGGAGGGCAGGGCGGGTGGGGGTGAGCTAGACGGCTTGCAATCTAGAGGATGCCTCGATCACTGTTCCCTTTCAATATACGCCCCCTCCCCCAGGCGACCGGGAGCCAACCCAGGCCCATGCGCCCCCCCACCATCCCTATTAAACAAAACTGTACAAAACACACTCTGCCCCCACTATCCCTGGTAAAAAACATACAGAACACACTCTGTCTCCAAATTCGGAACATGCGCAGCGAACCCGATGCGGCCTCCCCCCACCATCCCTGTCAAAGAACAATACAGAGTACACTTGGCGGCGGCGGCGGCTGCGGCGGCTGCGGCGGGGGCAGCGGCGGGGGCGGCGGCGGCGGCGGCGGGGGCAGCGGCGGCAGCGGCGGCGGCGGCGGCGGCGGCAGCGGTGCTGCGGCGGCGGCGGCGATTTGGCAGCGGGGCGGCGGCGGCGGGCGGCGGCGGCGGCGGCGCGCGGGCAGCGCGGCAGCGGCGGCGCGGCGGACATCGGCGGCGGCGGCGGCGGCGGCGGCGCGGCGCCGGCGGCGGCGGCGGTCGGCGGCGGCGGCGGCGGAGGCGGCTGCGGCGGCGGATTGGCCCCCAGTAGCTGGCCATCCAAAGACGACTGCTGCATATGCTGCGGCTCGGGCCAGGCTCGGGTGCTACATATGTGTTGGGAAGGCGGATGGGAGTGAGCGAGTCGGCCTGCGGGCGGCGAGGGCGTCTTGACCCCTCCCCCTACCCCCTTCCCCTGGACCTGGACAGGGGGTCGCGACGCGTTGGAGCGTCCAAGATGGCCTCGGCGAGATGGCCTAAATCATCACTCATTCAGCAAAATGCTGCTGGCCACATTTTGGCCTCCTGGGGGGGCGATCATGTACGACGCCCCCTCCAGTTATCGATTTCCTCCTAGATGGCCCCAAGATGCAAGGGTGCCCCACGACGGCCCCAAAGGTGCCCAGGAGGCCCGAAGAGGCCCCCAAGAGACCCCCAAGATGCCCCCAAGAGGCTCCCAAGAGACCCCCAAGAGGCCCCAAAAGGCCCCCAGAAGCACTCCAGACGCCCCGAGGCCCCTGGAACTGACAAGCGACGCCCAAGACGCCCCTACAGGATCCTAAGAAGCTCTCGAAAGACATCCGAAGAGACTCCGAGAGACATCCAGGAGGTGTCTGGCCTTTCTGATCGCCCTCCTCCTCCTCCTCCTCCTCCTCCTCCTCAGCAGCAGCAGCAGCAGCAGCAGCAGCAGCATCATCATCATCATCATCATCATCATCATCATCATCATCATCATCATCATCATCATCATCATCATCATCATCATCATCATCATCATCATCATCATCATCATCATCATCATCATCATCATCATCATCATCATCATCATCATCATCATCATCATCATCATCATCCATCATCATCATCATCATCATCATCATCATCATCATCATCATCATCATCATCATCATCATCATCATCATCATCATCATCATCATCATCCTCATCATCATCATCATCATCATCATCATCATCATCATCATCATCATCATCCATCATCCATCATCATCATCATCATCATCATCATCATCATCATCATCACCATCATCACCATCACCATCACCATCACCATCACCATCATCATCATCATCATCATCATCATCATCATCATCATCAGCAGCAGCAGCAGCAGCAGCATCAGCATCAGCATCCTCAGCATCCTCCTCATCATCATCAGCATCAGCATCATCAGCATCATCAGCATCATCATCATCATCATCATCAGCACCACCAGCACCACCATCATCATCAGCAGCAGCAGCAGCAGCAACATCATCATCATCATCCTCTTGCTTATCCGCCTATTCCTACCCCTCATTCCTCCTCACTCCCCCCCCCCTCCCCCTCTCCATAATCATCCTCCTCCTTCTCCTCCTCCTCCTCCTCCTCTTCCTCCTCCTCCTCATGCTCCTCCCTCCTCTGGTTCCTCCTCCATCCTCCCCCTCTTGGGGTACGACGTCTTACCCAGCTCATTATACCACTGCATGCTCTTCCACACCCCTGATCAGGGCAACTCATCTGGGCATCGTTTCTGGACGGGCTGGTGGGGGGTTACGCGAAGCATCTGGGATATCGGAATCGAACCAGATCGGGCCGGCCGAAATCGGTATCGAATCCGATCGATCGAATCAAAATGGACCCTGCAAAAGCGGGATGGAGCAGATCGGGAGTCTCTGAGAGCCGCCCGGCCGTCCGGGTCTCAGAGCACGTCTCGGGCGCCGCGGCCGCTCCAGAAAGCCGTAGAACACAGTATCCTTATCCGAGGCCTGCCTGACTGGATGAGTCTCTTTGGCCAGCTGAAAAATATGTCGGAGGCGTTCGGAAGGTTCCCGGAGATGATAATATTGCTTGTCTGATGGTTCGGGAGACGCGGGACGGGGTCAAGGCGAGGTGTAGCGTGCAAGAGGGAGAGGAGAAGGAGAAGGGGGAGGAAAAGGGGAAGGGGAGGGAGGGGAGGGGGGAAAGGGGGTCGCAGAGGAAGAGGAAGGGGGCGAGGGGGAAGAGGGTGGGAGAGGAGAAGGTGGAGGGGAAGGGGGAGGAGGGAGAGGAGGAGACAAAAGGAAGGAGGAAGAGGAGGGAGGGAGACGACGACGAGGGGGCGGAGGAGGATGACGAGTGTTAAGAGGCGTTGGGAGAGGAGGGAGAAGAGGGAGAGGATGATAAGGGGGAGGGAGAGAATGGGGGGAGAGGGGGGGTAGGAGAGGAGAAGGAGGACGATGGGGAAGGAGGAGGGGGGAGGATGAAGAAGGGGGAGCATAAGAAAGGGGGGACGACTACGGTGGGGAAGAAGTTGGGAGGCGAATGGGAGTCAGGGCCAGAGACGGATCGCGAAGCGACGCAGCGATACCGAAACAACACCGCTGAGGCACTCGGCTTCACCAGGCCAGGTCATCGTGGGTTCGTTTGAGATGCTACTTCCTAGCAGGCGTGTTCACAAAGAGACGACTACCCGCTAGCAGCGCAGCAGTGCAGCGGGCACAACAAAAAGATGCACATCGACAGCACAGACTCGACACACGCAAGCAACCCTGCAGACGCACAGGGTGCCAAATTTCCATGAGAAGCGAGGAGGAGGAGCGGGGAGGAGGAGCGAGGAGGAGGAACGAGGAGGAGAACAAAGAAGATGAGGAAACAGCCGGCGGCAACTTGTGTGCCCTGGGCCCCTCGTGGAGCATACCGCAAAGCTCGGTCGACCCGACAGCGCACCCGCGGCCACCCCCCCGCCGGCCGTGCTGGCTACGCCCGGCCTCTTCGCCCGTTTCTCCCTCCGGGCGTTCCGCCCAAGCTGCGCTGCGAACGCGTCCCGCCTTCGCTACTGCTGCGTCGCCCACCCCAGCGGGCCATCGCACGCCCCCAGTCCGCCACTGCAGCCCACCTTCGCAGCCCGCCAAGCAGCCGCACTTGCCCCCCCTCCCCAATTTACTGGGGCCGCCGTCGCCACTGCTGCTCTGGCCTCCACCCTTCCGACCTGCCGGTCTCCGACCCTGCACTGCAGCCGCTGTACCCACCCCTGGGTGCGTTCGTGATGCCGTCCCGCGCCCGCTGCCACTGGCTGCTACACCGGCTTGGCCGCCCCCCGCGCCCCGCCGCGGCCTCGCCGCGTGGCTGCGCCTGCTCCCCTTTTTCCTCCCCCTTCCGCGGCCGGCCCTCTTCTTTTCCTCCCCTCTTGAATCCGGAACAATTCGCAATGCCGCTGCCCGGCTTGCCTGGACGCGCGTGCGGGCTGCCTCTGCCGCGCTGCGACGTAAAAAGCACGTGCGCCCGCACGTTCGTACATGCACGGACATGCTCGCGCGAGTATCCACACATACACGCACACGAACACTTGAACGGGAACTGTACCGCCAGGACGCACACGGTATAACATCACGACGGCACAAACGTCATATACTTCATACGATCGCGCAGATACAGTCTCGCATGATATGTGCGCTCGCATCACGAAGGGATGGGCGAGCCCCGACGATCGGAGTTTGACAACTCGCTGGGAAAAAGCAGGAAGGGAATAAGGAGCGACAGGGACGCTCAACAACTATACGCTGTGTGGAACTATACCAAGCAGCCTCGCGGATCGGAGTGCGGCCCCACGATGATGAATGAAGGGGCGTAAACCCATCTGGATTCCCGACCCCGCTCCCAGACCCCCGACGTCGTGATGTTCTCAATGCGTGGCTCCCACACAGGTCCCACCTCTTCCCAGAGAACTAGATTGTCATCCTGGATCCGCTTCCCTAAACAGCTTGTATGTGCAGGTCCTGCATACTAGCTCCAGACATGCGTGAGCTCCTCCAGATCCGAAATCCATGGATCGGCCTGAAACCTTCCCTCTGTTCTCCCGTATGGCTTTCAAGACGGTCTTCCGTATGGTCTTCCACATGGTCTCCCACATGGTCTCCCATACGGTGTCCTGTCCGGTTTCCCCTACGGTCTCCTGCATGGTCTCCCGTACGGTCTCCCGCATAAGCTCCCGTACGGTCTCCCGTATGGTCTCCCGTATGCTCGCCTGTGTGGTCTCCCGCATGGCCCCCCGTATGGTTTCCCGCATGGTCTCCCGACTAATCTTCCGTGTGCTTTCCCACCGTATGCCCTCCCGCATGGTCACCCGCATAGCCACCCGAATGATCTCCCGCAGGGTCTCCCGCATGTGCAGTACATCAGATAATGCTCCTTTGATAATCAGCTATGCTGCTCAGGCTCTTCTGCCGCCAAGGTGTACATGAACGGCCCCGGGGCCGGTAACGAGCCTCTGGAGGCCGAAGCTGAGGGAACACCGCGTGTGCGAAATGTGCCTGTCCAGCAGGCCAGACGTGATACAATCTCCGGTACAAGTTTCAGAATGTTGCTAATTCGCGCGCGTGGCGGCCCCTGGGGTCCCCGGACGAACAATACCCCGACCAGGTCCTGGCATGGTCCTGGCAGGATCGGGCCAAGGATGCCGGCCTCAGGCCAAGAGCGTTCCAAGATGATCCAGGTTGTTATCAAGACGTCCCAAGAGGCGCCCAAGACGCCCCAGGAGGGCTCCAAGAGGACCCCAAGAGGGCCCGAAGAAGCAAGATGAACTGATGTTGCTTGTGTTTCTGAACGACTCGGCGTTGCCGCCCCAGAGGACTCCAACCGGACATCGCGGCCCCAGAGGACTCCAAGATCGCCCCGAGTCAGCCCAAGAGGCTCCCAGGACGGCCCCAAGACGGCCCAAGAGGGCCCCAAGACGGCCCAATACGGCGCCCGCAAGAGCCCCTTGAGGGGCCTCAGAAATGCCGCCAAGAGGCCCCCCAAGAGACCCCAAGGACCTTCCAAAGATGCATCCTGTTCGCGACCCAGCTTGGCCCCCAGTGCCGCAAGAAGGCGTCGAGAGGCCTCCTCCTCCTCCTCCTCCTCCTCCTCCTCCTCCTCCTCCTCCTCCATCGAGTCCCCTATCCTCCTTCTCGCCCGCTATGTGCTGGCGGAATGAGCGAAGCGATCAAATGACTGACTCTACCACGATGTCGGACGTCCCCGAGACCTGGCAAGGCATGCGGCACGCAGCCCAAAAAAAGGGTCACTAGGCGCCGGCGTCTGCGGACCGGAGGCCGGAGCCGCAAAGGAGGCCCCCGAAGGCCGGGGGCGCGCGCCGGAGCCAGGCCTCGAACCAGGCCAGGCGCTCGGCGCTGCCGGGCGCGCCCTGCGGACTGCCCAGGCTGGCGAGCTCGTGCCGGAGCGCGTCGGTGGGGGCCTCCACGAGCTCCCGCTGGGCCGCCTCGAAGCGGAGCGCGGCGGCCTGCGCCAGGGAGAGGCCCGCCCTGAGGGCCATCTCCTGGTAGGCGCTCTGGAACCCCTTGCGGTGTATGTGGGTGATGGGGCCCGGGACGAACTCGACCCCCGTCTCGATCGCACTGGGGCCTGTCAGCAGGACAACCATACAGGTGACGTTGTCCCTGGAACCCCTCCGTATGGCCTCGAGGCAGGCGAGCCTGGCCGCCGCTCCTGCGTCCATGCCAGCGTTGAGCCGCTCAGCCACGAACCTGACCACCTCACCTGCTGGAAACGAGCACTCCGACATGCCGTCACAAACGAGCAGCAAGAAGTCCGTCTCGTCGCACTCGAAGCGAGCCAGCTCCGGGTCCGCCGTGATTGGCCGATCCTCTGGACCTGGTCCTCCGGTCCTCTTGTGCTTGGAATCGCCGAAGGCCCGGGACACGGAGAGCTCCCCGTTCACCCGAGCGACGTTCCCCAGCGACTGCCCCGGCGACCTCACCGTGCCTCCACACCTCTCGATGCGCGCCCGCTCGGAAGGCATGTCTGGCTTGTGGTCCATCGTGAGGCCCTGGTCCGTGCCCCCTCCGTCTACGATGCTGCCATCCCGCCGCCCCAGGAGGACCCGGCTGTCTCCGACGTTGGCCACGCGTAGGAGGTGCCGACCTCCGCGCCACTTAGGCTTGTGGACGATGCACATCGTTCCCGTAGAGCCACCGGGCTGCTTGCTGGCCAAGAACTCCCGGTCGATGCCCAGCACCAGGCTCTTCACCGAGGCGTCGTCCTCTGGGCAACCTCTCTGGCTCAGCTCCTCCCTGAACCTCCGCGACACAAAGGCGGAGCAGGCCTGCCCGCTGTGGCCGTCGAAGACACCGAAGAATGCCCAGTCGTCCTCCAGGTGCACGACGTGGGCGTCTTCCATGTTCGGGCGCCAGCCGTTCACCTCCGCAACCGCCGCGGTCCATCCTCGAGCAGCATGCCTTTCCACCACAGCAGCTTCCACCGGCTTGGGCATTGAGGCGCCCATGGGCCCCCTCTCCTCTTACCCGCAGCCGCTGCAGCCCGCGCTCGGACCAACACTCGAACCAAACTGGGGTGAGCCGAAGCGGCTACGGAGGATGAAGAAGAAGCAGCGCTGTTTGCCCTCACCGTGGGGTCGTCAAGTCTTCGCCGAGACGCTCATGTCGGGGCGGGCGACGGGGGGATGGCAAATGGGGTTTAGAGAACCAGCTGCACGTAGCAGCGCAAGAGGCGGCCATGTATCGAAGAATGCGCCCGGCGCCGACGAAACCAATTGCACGCAGCAGATTTCGTATCCCACCCCCGCCCCTTTCAGAATCCCCCCTTTCGTAAGACCCGATCCTAGAGTCCTAGACTTCGGTCGACTTGGTTTTTTCGAGTCGCCGAGCCATGGAGCTTTCGAGCTCTCCCCAAGAATTCGTTTTTCATCCCAGCTGTTTTTGGGGAGGCCGGAAACATCACGGCAACTTTTTCGAATCGTCACCTCCTCCCCTTCACAATCAGCCCGAATAGCTGTCCTGGGGTGCAGGTCAGCTACAACTTCGGAAACAAAAATCAAACCGTGGAAACAAGCAGCCAACCAGAAGCCCCCAAATGGGGAAAACGCCTCGCAAAATGCCACCGTGCAAAAAGACCCTGAACAGCAACGCTGTATGAAAACAGCCATGGTGATGTAACATCAAAAGGGCGTGCTTGATGTGGGCGATCAGTGGCGCAAAAAACCGAGAACAGCATGGCCCGGCACGGAGAGGGCACGGCACTGCAGCACGGCACACTTGTCGCATTCTGAACCCTACGCACGGCACGGCACGGCACGCGGACACGGACACGGACACGGACACGGACACGGGCACGGGCACGACACGGCACATGTTGCGCATTGTCGAACCTGTCATGTTGCGCATTTTCGAACCTGTGGTATGGAGAGGCGCGCAGCGCCAGGGATAGTTTTGGTATGAGCACGGCTCGAACAACTGACGTAGCTCTAACGCCAAGGGCCCTGAAACAGAGTGAGCAAGAATGATAGCGGCAGCGCGGGGTTGAGGCAGCATACGCAGCGAGCAGGGATGGCACGGGAGTTCAGGCCTTAGCATGGCCCGGCTGGGCCTCTAGGACACCCCCGGGGCTCTCGGGAGTGAGTTTGATTTACGCTCCTCCTGGTCGCCGCCTTGGGCGGCCATACCGGTGACCATCTACCGAGTCACTCGTGACGAGATTAATCACGGACAGATTACTATGATAATCTGGGCGGCGGGAATGCCAGGCCCGGCACCTCTTCGCAGCGGATGGCAAGCACACGGCTTGCTCGGCATGCTACGCGCAGGCTGCCCTCAGGGCGACTTAGCGAGCGCATTCTTCACGCATCTGCAGGCTCAATTCACACAGGCTCTCGACTGATCGATTCTTCTCGCTTTGTAGCTCGACGGTGCTAAGCGGAAGCCGCAGTAGCGCAGCAAATGAGAGGGGCGGTCGCCATCACCACTGACAAAGAGTGCACACGCACGAAAAAACTGAACTGGACTTTTGAACGCGTCAGTACGTCAAAAGGCCGCGGATAGCAGGGGGTCCGGGTGGCGGCGGAAAGATAAACAAAACTCTCATGCGGGCTCACGTTTCCTTCTTGCCCCTCACTGGGGAATTCAGCTTCACTGGCGTCGCGCCGTCAATCTGCCCCCCACGGTTCTCCAGTTCATGATGCATCTTCGTGAAATCTGGAGCGCGCAGGCGGGGATTGCGACGAAACCAGGCTGCATGACGCCAGCAAGTCCTGCAGGTGATGTGCACGCCGCGCGGGTTGTGGCCAAATCGCATGTTGTGCCCCTGCGCGGCGCAGTTGTTCATCTCCAGCGGCGATCTCGCAGGCGTCGATCTGCCCCAGGACAACACGCTTGCTGACGACGAGCTCGACACCGCAAGCGGGCGATGCTGGCAGGAAGCTTTCCTGCGACGGCGGGGCAGCTGGCCCTGACTGCGAGGCAGCGCCAACCGAGCTGTGAGCGGCAGCGGTGGCCACGTGCGGCGGCGGGCCGCCATGTCCAAGTCCCCGTCAACGTCCTCTGGGATATGCGCTGGGCGCTCGTTGTTGCGACTATTCAGTCGGCGACCGCCCCATCCTGGATGATGCCCCTCTGTTGCGCCGCCGGCCTTGGACTCGCTTGGCAGCGGGTCGCCCGCGAGCTTGTTCTGGCGCATGATGCGCCGCGCGGCCGCGAAGATATTGGACCCATAGGCCATGCCGAGGAACGCCGCGCAGCAGGTGAGGCAGCACATATACGAATAGAAACTCAAGTCGATTGGCGGCGATGGCGCGGGCCGGCCCTTGATCCTTCCGGCGCAGGTCATCGGGGCCGGGGCCGGCGCGGCAGCGCCGGGCAGCCCGGCGCCGAAATCGCTCTTCGACCACCCGTTCTCTGGGCAGGCATCCAGGCCAGGCGGAGCTCGCTGATAGGGTGCACGGACTCCTTGGTCATTGAGGCGGCGACGCGGAACCGCCTGCCGGCGGACTGGCCAACGTCTGACTGGACGTGCGTGACCAGGCCCTCGCCGTCGCGCAGACCCCCCCTTGGGCGCTCGAGACTGAGGTCGTCGATATCCTCGAGCGGCTTCTTCGGGCTGCGGGCCCCCGTCGTTGATCTCGCTCCCCCCGAGGGTCGCGTAGCCCTCCGCGGCCAGCGCGGGCTTCGCGGATCTCTCGGCAGTGCCTGAGCGCCAGGGCAACGGGCAAGCAGAGGTCGTAGCGGCCTCTGGCGACGTCGCGCGGGCTGCGGGCGAAGCCCATGGCATGCGACGCTGGCTCTTGACATGGCCCACGTTGGCGAAAGGGGCGTCGCTGAAGCAGACCGGCGCGCATGTCTGCGAATCGATGGCCCCGCTTGCTCACGATGGCGACGTCGGCGGATCCGCGCCAGCAGGTGACTGTCTCGTTGATAGTCTCTGCGTCGCCCACGGCGGCGACGCTGGTGCAGCGAGCAGCGAGGCTCGCAGGGCAGGCGACGTCGACTCGGGCCTGTGCTGCAACTAGAGCAAGCGCCTGAAAGTGCGACGGTAGCTGGAAACTTCGCCACTGGAAGTCGATATTCCGGTGATCGTCCGCGCTGCACGCCGAGCTCGACGAAACCAACCTGCGCGGCAACAGTCGCCTGAGCGACGCGGAATTCAGTGTCGGACTTTGGCGGCGGCCCTGCCGCGCACTTGATCGTGCCTCTGACCTGCTAACGGTGGAACTTCTTCTCCAGGGAAGCGATGACGCTCTCCCATGCACTGGACTAGCACAGTAGCGCCGAGCGAGAAGGAAGCCACGCACGCGGGGGCGCACCATGGCGGCGAGGCCCTTGCCGTCACAGAAATAGCACGTACTATGTTGAGCCCGCTCTCGACGAGACCATGCGTCTTGCGGACGCTCTGAGCGCACAGGCACCACTGCCTGCCAGCGTCTCAGGCGCCGTAGATGGCGCCAGTCGCAATCGCGATCTCGTGCCACCGCAGCGCCGCTCCTCTGGCCGGGGGCCCATGACGGACGGGGTGGCCCGCGCTGCCTGTCGCGAGTTCCTGCGAGCGGCCCCCGATGCGGAAGTGCTCCTTCCCGAGCAAGATGTCGATATTGGAGGGTCGGGCGAAGTCGCGGCCGATCAGCGGGTATGAAGGCCGCTGCACGGCCCAAGACTCGTTTTCGGGGTCGCAGGCGTCGCGAGATAGCGCCGCGGACAAGCGACTTTGCCACGCCTGCTCGGCGAACATATTTTGCGCCACCTTGACAACCAAACGCCGCGTCGAAAGCAAGCAGTCGCACCCCTCAATTAATCGAAAAAAAAGCGCCTGACGTTGCGGTGCTTCTCGCGCGCGGCTTACCTAGCAGAGCAAGGGCAACCGATGCCGGCGCCAAAACAAACGCACGTCGTCTGCATCTGCGCAGCTGTCGCGCGGCGACGCGCGGCCGCGCGGCCGCGCGGCGGCGCGGGCGGGCCCCGCGCGGCAAATCAGAACCGAAAAACGAAATGACGCCACGCGCGATGTCGAGTTGATCCCCCGACGTCGGGGCGCGATGTTTGTTGTTCGCGCGAATGCGGCCTCGACGCCGCGAACAAAGCGTTTCGCGCGCGCCGCGCCGGGCAAGTCGATCGCGACCTTCCAGGCGGAAGCGGTCCGAGCATTGAGGGCCGATGAGGGAATAAACCATGCAAGCGCTGCCACAAGTGACAACCGGAGAAAACTTAGCCCAAGCCCGCTCGATAGGCAGCGGCATGAAACGAAACGCAGCGGGCCGGAGCAAATTGGCGAAGGAAGCGGGCGCAAACGGGGGAGGCCTGGGCCTGGGCGACCTGCGCCCTGAGCGCCAAGGGAACTCGTGGACCCGACGGCGCGGCGTGAGTGAAGCTCATCAACGGGGGAAAATGCACTCGCCGAAACGGCGGGGGCATCGTCGCAGCCATTCCGAGGTCGCGAGAACCCCCGTCGCGACGCGTCTTCCGCCGCAGCGAGTGCGGCTCGCGCGCGGGCGAGCGCGCGCGTTCGCGCGAGCGCAAAAACTCGCTCGCGCGCGCGTGAAACAACGCCGCGCGCAGTTTTGCGCGCCATCCGTTTTTTGTCCGCCGTTTTTTTTTTTTCCGACGGCCCGACGCGCGGCGCCATTTGTCCCCATTTGTCATCACTTTGTCACCACTTTATCATCACTTTGTCCGCAACAAAGAGGCGCGACAACCCTAGTTGTCATCACTTTGTCACCACTTTGTCATCACTTTGTCATCACTTTGTCGCAGGTTTTGTCTCCGTTCCCCTTCCAAACTGCGAAGCCCCAACTGTTTCCTTCAGCGTATCGATCTGCGGCCCGTTCAGGCAATACCGCGCCGGCAACCGCGGGGACAGCGCTAAAACGCAACGCGCGATCTGCGCGTTTGCTGAAACTTGCCTGATGTCGCGCGATGCGGTTTGCCGCCGCGCCTCCAGCGAGCTGGAAAGCTCGGGAAAGAATTCGCGTCGTTCACGCCAGTGCAGCCCCGCTGGGGTCGT